TCTAGATTGATACTATATTTTAGGTATTTGTGAATAATGCTGCAATAAGCATGGGAATGAATGATACAGATATAGTCTCCAGATCCTTGGCAAAGGCGCTAAAAATATGTTGGGAAAAAGACAGACTTTTAAACAAATTGTGCTGGAAAAACTAGATATCCGTATTTAGAAGAAAGAAACTAGATCCCTAACCCTCACCTTGCACAAAAGTCAACTCAGAATGGATCAAAATGGTAGGAATAAGACTGTAAACTTTGCAACCACTGGGAAAAAAATGTAGAGTCAACACTCCAACATATAGGTATAGACAATGACTTCCGACTTCTAAAGCTCAGGAAGTATATGAGAAATTAACAAATGGAATGCCATCAAATTAAGATGCTTATGCACCGCAAAGGAAATGATTAAGAGCATGAAAAGAGAGCCTATAGAATGGGAGAAACTTTGCTAGCTACTCTTCTGACACAGGATTAATATCAAGAATATATAAAGAACTCAAAACACCAAAAAACAATATATCTATAAATAGCCAAATGAACACTCCTCAAAAGAAGAAATACAAAAGGCCAGAAAATATATGAGAAAATGTTTAACATCTTTTGCAGTTAAGAAAATGCAAATCAAAATGATACTGATTTCATCTCACTCTAGTTACAATGATGATCATCAAGACTACAAATAATAATGCTGGTGAGGATAGGAACAGTGAAAGGAGCCTTCAGATGCTGTTGGTGAGACTTAAGTTAGTACAACCACTGCAGAAATCACTATGGAGGTATCTCAAAAGATCAGGAATGAAACTACCATGTGACCCAGGTATACCACTCCTTGGTATTTATCCTAAAGAATTAAAAATCAGCATACTATAGTGATACATACATACCTATGGTTATAATAGCATATTTCACAAAAAAAAAAAAATTGTGGAACAGCCTAGGTGTCTGTCAACAGATGAATGGATAAAGAAAATGTGATTTATATACACAATGGAGCTTTATTCCGCCATGAAGAAGAAAATGTCATTTATAGGAAAATGAATAGAACTTGAGAACATTTTGTTAAGTGAAATAAACTAAACTTAGTTAAGGGTCATATGTATTCCCTCATTTGTGGAAACTATAGAGAAAAAAAAAGGTAAAAATGTGTGTATGAAAGGGAATCATCTGAAAACAGAAAGGAAACCAGTAGAGTGGAAGAAGACAACTGCGGGGAGAAAGGGAGAAAATGAGGTAGTACTGAGAAATTAAATTGCCCAAATTATGTTGTGTGCATATATGAATAGGTAACAATGAATATGTGTGATTTTTAACCCACCAATATAAAATATTTTTAAAATATACATGGGCCGAGTATGGTGTAGTTCATGCCTGTAATCCCAGTGACTTGACTCAGGAGTCTAAGGTAGGCAGATCATAAATTCTTTATCTGCCTGGGCAATTTAGACACTTTCTAAAAATAAAAAGGGCTAGGGATATAGCTCAGTGATAAAGCACCCCTGCGTTCAATCCCCAGTTCTAAAAGTACGTACGTACATACATACATACATACATACATGGGAGTGTTAAGTATTTTTTGATAGAATGATTTCATCTCCTTTGGCTATGTACCCAGTATTGGAATTGCTGGATCATATACCAGTTCTGAGGTTTTTGAGGAATCTGCATATTGTTTTTAGCAATCACTGCTAGTTTACATTCCCACCAACAGTATATAAGCTTTCTCCTTTCTCTGCACCCTTGTCTGCATTTGTTAGTTTTTGTCTTTTTGACAATAGCCCTTCTTAGTAGGGTGAGATACCACATTGTGGTTTTGATTTGTGTTTCCCTGATAATTATATTGAGTGTAATATATTCATTGACCATTTGTATGTCTTCTTTTGAGAAGTATCTGTTTAGCTCTTTTGCCATTTTAATTGGATTATTTGGGGGGAGTTTTGGGTTTTTTTTTCAGTTCCTTATATATCCTGGATATTAATCCCCTATCATATGAATTGTTCACAGATACTCTCCCATTCTGTAGGTTTTCTCAGTTTTGTTGATTATGTTCTTTGCTGTGCAGAAACTTCTTAAACTTAACATAATCCCATCTACTTTCACTTTTGTTGCCTGTGCCTTTGTGGTTCCTATCTGAAAAACCATTGCCTATACAATGTTTTGAAGTGTTTCCCCTATGTTTTCTTATTTCATAGTTTCAGGTTTTACATTTAGGTCTTTGATTCATTTAGAGTTAATTTTGGGGTACAGTGTGAGGAAGGGATCTAGTTTCACTCGTCAGCATGTATATATACAATTTTGTCAGCACCATTTATTGCAGAGGCAGTCTTTTCTTTATTTTATGTTCTTGGTGCCTTTGTCAAAAATCAGTTGGCTTTATGAACATGGATTAATTTGGGGGTTCTCTAATGCTGTTCTATTGGTTTATGAATCTTTCTTATGCCAGGATCATTGTTTTTTTTACTTTAATATAATAGTATGTTTTAAAATAAGGTATTGGTGGACTGGGGATATAGCACACAAAGCCCTGGTTCAATCCCCAGCACCACAAATAATAATAATAATAATAATAATAATAATAATAATAATAATATATTGGTGTTTCTCCCTCCAGATTGCTTTGAGTCTTTTGTAGTTCCCTGTGAATTTGAGGATTTTTTTCTTCTATTTCTGTGAATAGTCTTTGGTAGTTTGACGGAAATTGCATTGCAACTACAGATTCCTTTATGATGGTATTAAGATCATTTTGACAATATTATTCTAATCCATGAACACTGTACAATTTTTCCATTTTTTGTCTTCTATAATTTCATTCACAAGGTTTTATAATTTTCATTATAGAGATAATTTACTACATTAAATTTCTAATTTTTTGTAGCTGTTGTTAATATGACTGCTTTCTTAATTTCTTTTTTCAGCATTTTCATTATTGGTATAAAAGTGTTCATGTTTTATGTTAATTTTTTATCCTGCAACTTTATTGAATTCATTCAAATGTGCTAACAGCTTTTTGATGAAATATTTAGGTTTTCCTGTGTATAAAATCATGTCATCTACAAACATGGATAATTTAATTTCTTTTCTAATTTGGATGCCCTTTACTTCTCTTGCCTAATTACTCTTCCTAAGATTTCCGCTACTATATTATAAAGGTAGTAAAAGTGGACACCTTGACTTGTTCCTAATCTTTGAAGAAATACTTTCAGCTTTACCCATTCAGTGATATTGGCTGTGGGTTTTTCATATATGCCCATTAGTATTTTGAGGTATGTTCTTTCTATACCTTACTTGAGAGTTTTTACTATGAAGAGATGTTGAGTCTTCTCAAATGTTATTTTTTCATGTTTTCAAATGATCATGTTTTTTTTTTCCTTCATTCTGTTGTTTTATTGCGTGTTAATTTGCATGTGTTTAACCATCCTTGCATCCCTGGGATGAATTGCACTTAATCCTGGTATATGATCTGCTTAATGTACTATTGAATTCAGTTTGCTAGTATTTTATTGAGAATTTTTGCATGTATGTTCATCAGGGATATGAATCTAGTTTTCTTTTGTATTTTATATTTTGATATCAGGGTAATGCTGGCCTTGTAAAGAGTTTGGCAAAGTTCCTTTTGTTTTGAATAGTTTAAGAAGAATTGGAATTAGTTGTTCTTCAGCATTAAAACCATCAGGCCCTGGCCATTTTTTAGATGGGAGTTTTGATTACTGCTTCTATCTCATTAGTGATCTTTTTAGATTTTGTTTCTTTTTAACTCAATATTAGTAGATTGTATGTGTTCATGTATTTATTCTTTGCTTCTAGGCTTCCCAGGGGTTTGTTTACATATAATTGCTCTTAGTATTTCTGTAGTATCACTTGTAATGTCTCCTTTTCCATCTCTGGTTTTAGTTATTTCGGTCTTCTTTTTTTCTTAGTGTAGTCAAAGGTTTATCAATTTTTTTTATACTTTAAAAATAAAACCTACTTCATTGATCTTTTGGGATTTTTGTTTTTATTTTTTCTTCTGCTCTGATATTAGTTATTTCTACTAATTTGGGTTTCATTTGTTCTTTTGTAAGTTCTTGAGGTGAACTGTTAGGTTATTAGAGATCAGGATTTTTGTTTTTGTGGGTTTTTTTTTTTTTGATGTATACATTTATTTCTGTAAACTTTCCTTTACTGCTTTTGCTATATCCCACATATTTTGATATATTATTTTTAATTTTTTTGTCTTTTAATTTCTATTTTCTCTTTCTACCTCTTGGTCATATAGACACACGTTATTCAATTTCCATGTATTTGCATACTTTCCATTACTGTTGTTGATTTATAGTTTTCTCTAATTGTCTGAGAAGATACATGATATGAATTCAGATTCTTAAAATTTATTGAGATTTGATTTGTGGCCTTATATATGATTTATCCTGGAAAATATTGTACTGATAAGTGTGTATTCTGCTGCACTTGGATGAAATTTCTGTAACTGTTAGGTTGATTTGAAATGAACCATAGTACAGAACCAATGTTTGGTTTTTGACTTCCTGTCATATCTGTCCATTGAAGAAAGTAGGGTATTGAAGTCCCCATCTATTACTGTATTAGAATCTATCTTTACCTTTGGCTCTAATATTTGCTTTATATATTTGAGTCGTCCCATATGGGGTACATGTATTTTTACAATTTTCTTCTTACCAAAATGATTGTTTTTTCATTAAATTTAAAAATGTCAAAGGAGGTCATTATATAAAGTCTTTATATGAGTATAGCTATTCTTGTTTGCTTTCGGTTTCCTTTTTTTTTTCTGTCAAGGAAATTTATTGTGTCCAATAAATATCTCCAGGTTTGTAGTAGATCATCCTTAGTTTGGTTCAAGGATAGAAAAAGATGCATTCTCTTGGTCTAATAGTAGTATAAACAATCAGGCCTTTGGCAGTAAAAAACTTATACCTGGATCATTGATACGTATAAATCAATAAGTTTACCACTGTTATACTAAAATTACCATTTCTTTTTTTCTTCCAGAGAACACCATGGGAATGCTATGCAGCCCTCTGTCAAGGATAACAGTGGTAGCCATGGCTCTCCTATCAGTGGAAAATTAGAAGGCATCTTCTTCAGCTGCAGCACTGAATTCAATACTGGGAAGCCACCCCAGGATTCACCTTATGGAAGATACAGGTTTGAGATTGCAGCGGAAAAACTTTTTAACCCCAACACTAACCTATACTTTGGGGACTTCTACTGTATGTACACTGCTTATCATTATGTGATTCTTGTTATTGCCCCTGTGGGATCACCAGGAGATGAATTTTGTAAGCTGCGCCTTCCGCAACTCAATTCCAAGGATAATAAATTTTTGACCTGTACAGAAGAAGATGGGGTGCTGGTTTACCACCACGCCCAGGATGTCATTTTAGAAGTCATTTTTACTGACCCTGTGGATCTTTCTCTGGGCACCGTGGCAGAGATCACTGGTCATCAGCTCATGAGTTTGTCTACCGCAAATGCAAAGAAAGATCCCAGCTGCAAAACCTGTAATATCAGTGTTGGACGTTAATGCCCACTTTTCTTATTCTTACTCAGCCCCTTTTCTTCCCTTAGGACCATTCTCTGTTATCCATTTATCATCAGATGTTTTCCACTGAAGCATGCACATGCCGCTATCACCAAAAGTAAACTACCACTTTTCAAATTTCATTCAGAGCTGTTTTAGTGTTTCCTATTCCCCACCTTTCCCACTACTTTCAATGATGTTTTCCTTCTGACACTTTGCCTAGATGCTGCAATGTTTTTATTTTTACTTTATGCCAAACATAACAAAACAATTATAGACCGCTTTAGCAAAATACAAAATAATGGCTTATAAATGGTGTTTAAATGTGCATTCATTTTAATCTACTGAACAAATATTGGGATAACTCCAAACCGCATGAAAGGGTGTAATTGCAGCATGAGTTAAATCTTGAAGCCTAGAATTGTCAGCACTTCCAACTTGTTGTTTGACAGTGTTATTTATGTTATTTATATTAGCTAACAGGAAACAACTACTGTGTTTCAACATAATAAATATAATAGAAAAATATTTTATTTGTATTGTTGTATAAAATATTTACAATCATATAGAATATATAGTTACATTTTAATAGCAATTGTATACATGTCACGAAACCATTTCCCTTATCAAAGATGTAATTTGTAAACCTCAAATAGTTGTGTATTTGTCCTGTTCCAAGTAGATGACTTCAATTAAACAAATTTATGAAGGACATTATTCTCATTCATAAAAGTTATGAAATATACAGAGAAAATGAGCCTCTGAAATAGTCTGCTTCTGAAATCATCAATATTCTCATCCAAACTATATGAAAATGTGAATTTCTTCATGCTTAAACATTACATAAAAATGATTGGTACATGAGAAAAATGTCAACCTTTTACTTGTTTTTATAAAAAAGCAATTTAGTACAAAATAACAAAACAATATACACTGATGTTGATGAAGCAAATAAAATATTCTGGCTTCTTTGCCAAGGTGTTATAACAATTTCCAAACCTTCCGTTTTTATATAGAATGAATCACTACAGTGCATGAGAAAATTTTTTCACATTACAAAGTATATACCTTGGAACATTAAGAAAAATGCATATTCCCAATGGAAAAATAGTTATATAACTTTTAGTTATTGTAAACAAAAGATTAGCAATAATACTATGATCACATTAGATTATTATACTGCAGACACATCTATCCAAAATACCTATTTTAAAATTTTAATAATATAAACATCTGTCAGTTATAGACAAAAGATAATTCACAAAGTACATGCTATCAGAATGAACTTTGGTAACCAGAAATGTAAAATTCAAATAACATAAAATGATGTGTTATTTTTATATAGAAATAAAAAAATTAGCAGTGACACACTCTAGTATATTCTAGGATATTGAAAGCTTAACATACTAAGGGACAAGGTAGTCAATGTTGTATCACTTAAAAGCTGATTAGAAATTTCAAATAAATTATTTTTTGTACTAGCTGTCTTTCACAAAAAGCAGAATTTGTTTTCCTCATGGGAAAAACAAAACAAACATGCTTTTTTCCATACATCAATATAAACAATCTTTGGACACTAATAAATTTTCCCTATCAAATGTGGCCCAACTATATACTATTTAGATTTGACAAAATATTGGATGCATTTTGAAATAATTATATTGACTGAGTTTTCTTCTTGGAATGGAGGAGGCTCAATTTTTCCCCCTCAGTTAGATGGTTACCTGTTGCATGTTTCCCCCATTTAAATCCCTTCTCATATATAATTACACTTATTATCCCATCTTAAAAATAGCTAATACTACAGCTAAAGTGCTTACATTTTCAGTATGTCAGAACTACTTAGCAAGAGTGGTAGAGAGAAATACACTTGACCTTATCTTGGGTGAAAGTGATCATAGACATTTCCTGAACCTCAAATAGTTTTGGCCACATCTTGCTTGCTGATAAGGACCTCTAGTAATCTCAGTTTGGCTTTTATGTGCTTGTATTCATAGTACTCGTCTGCCATTGGTATCCTATCTTCTTTTTGTGGACTTCTGCAAAACAGAAAAGATGATCTATTTGTTTACAGTGAACCAAGTCATTACAAATACTTTTTTTAAGAGATAATTTTTTAATATTTATTTTTTAGTTTTCGGTGGACACAACATCTTTATCTTATTTGTATGTGGTACTGAGGATTGAACCCAGTGCCTCGTGCATGCCAGGCGAGCGTGCTACTGCTTAAGCTACATCCCCAGCCCCCATTACATATACTTTTATAATTCATACATGAAAGTACAAGGTAGAAGCTTCTGCTTGGTTTTTGCATAGTCATCTTTACCCATTCTTCAGCTTCACTTACTCTTCCATGTTTATAAATAATTTCCTTGGAGGATTTGAATGTCAGTTATTCTATCTAGTGCTTAGTTGTATAACAATAGGGTAAGTGAAAATTCTGAGGAAAAACAAAGGCTAGTCCTTTCCTAGTTGTCCCCCCACTATTTGCCAAAGGCCGATGCCTATGCAGAATGTTCAGTCTTAAAGTTGTTAAAATTGTCAACCTGAAAACCCTAGAGAAATCTGATCATAAATAGTTCATAAATTTGTGGTGACAAGAAAATATACCCCCAATGGCTACAAACTTGAAACATCTCCAAGTTTTCTTATAATTATAATGCCCATCTCTGCTAATGTGTAGTAGAATCACTAAGCTGTTCATTGAGTGAAGTAATTTATCTGTCCAAATTGAATTTGTTCTCTTCACACTAATTCTCTACTGGGATATGTAACAAGGCATAAATTTTGATACATATGTAATATACTATTACTGAGAACTTTTATGGTGCCATAAAACTTTTAGTCATCATTTGCATTGTTATTTTACTTTATGGATAGTTAGTTAGGCCTTCCCAATAAAATACTGTAGGAAAACAAAATTACAGTTCATATTTCTTAGACATTCAACTGTTTGATTTTAATTGTAATAAATTACCACTTTTATATTTAGATGAAATGCTGTCACCACAAGGGGGCATGCAACTTCATAACCAAATATAGGTATATCAGAAGTGGGTTTAGGACTCAGAGATACAATAGAACGCTGTACGTAAAACACAAAAAAATTAACCTTCCAGTATGTCAAAGGGCATGCGGAGTAGCACTGTAAATCCACTAGGGCAGGACTACCAACACCTTGGGAATTTTCTGACTCTTCAAAGTAGAATACTGGGTTCAAACAGGTAAGAATGTAAATTTATTTTAGGAATTCAAAGTTATGAAAAGAATGTATGCACATCTTAAAGTGAACCCACTTTATAACTGTTTAGACTATTTAGTCATGCAGTGACTATTTGGATTTAGGTTACAAAAACATCTTCCTTGATAATTCCCCAAATGAAAAATTCACACAGGATGCCTTTAAAAAGACATAGATCAAAGTTTTTAATACAAGTCACCTGTATTCGCAAAGCATAATAGAGAAGACAGTCCAGACAAAGTCACTATTCCAAGGAATGTTTTGAAGGGAAAGTTGCATGAATGTTTTATAGAAGAAAACAAATCATCTAAATTTAACACATAACATTTCTCACATAGTTAACATAAGCAGAAAAATAAGTTAGACTTGTAGCAATTCACTGGCAAGAACGATTTCAGATGAAACACTTGAGTGAATTACGCGTATATTCTGAATGCAAAAAGTTTCTCACTTAATAGGTCCACTCCTAGTGAATAGCTCTCTGATGAACTGAAATGGAAAAGCTGACAAGGACTAAAGATAAGTAGACCAAGCTTGAATGTTTGGAAAATAGTCCCTTCATCAGGGAAACTCCCAGGCTGCTGAATCTGAAAACAGTTCATAAAAAAACAAATACCTAGATGGGGAGGAATACCAAGGAGATAATTATCACTGACTATAATGCTTATGCTCTAACCCCCACCCCCCCAAATACTTAAATCTCTATCTCTCTCATTTAATAACTTTTTGCCTTTGGGACAGTTATGTTCTTATGACATTTGTAACTTCCTAAATGATCTCAGGAGTCAAATCATTTCAGCTTATAAAAGCAGAAGCTGAGGCTCTCAGGTTAGCTATGTGATTTGTCCCCATCTCTTCCAGAAGTAGAGCAGTAACACTTATCTCCTGATTACATATATGTAATTTTGTTGGTGATAAACTAAAAATTAAGAGACACTAATGAAATGTATAAGATGACTTAGGTTGAGGCATAAAAATAGAGGATAGGTAGAGGAGATAGCTAATTATTAAGGGATAGAAAGACTGAATATGGTCTTTTGACCAATCCCTGAAACAATAATCAGGGGCACATCCTGGAGTTTAAAGAAGATATTTAAAGTAAAGAAAGAATTGTTATTAAATAAGTAGAGCTTGTAGAACCAAGAACAAAGAAATTATATGAGCTGAAAAATCAAGTAGGTGTTTTTAAAAGTTAAATTTAAGTTCAATATAGTAAGGTTATGCCAAGATAGAGATTTATTTTTTTAGAGTTCATTTTTTTGTATCAGGGATTAAACCCAGGGGTGCTCAACCACTAAAACACATCCCCAACCTTGTTTTATATTTTTACTTAGAAACAAGATTTTTCTAAGTTGTTGAGGCTGGTTTTGAACTCTCAATCCTCCTGCCTCAGCCTCACAAGCTGGTGGGATTATAAGCATGTGCCACTGCACATTGTTAATTTCTTAAAGCTTGCTGTCATACTTGAAAGCTACAGTCTCCCATAAAACATTCCTAATAACAGCCCTATTGGAATGTTAAATTAAAAAAATTCCAAGTCTAAGTTGGTATGGAAGTTATTTATATTTTGTATAGTATCACTGGTCTGCAAAACATTATAGCTTATTTTGAAAAACAGTTATCTGGGAAAATGTAACTTTAAAAAATCTGCCCATACTTACCTTCCTGTTTGTTTAAAAAACTGTTCTTCAAATTCTCTTAGGGCTTTTCGCAATCTCTTCTTGTCAGCCCTAGTTTCTCGAAGATGATCAAGAAGTACAGGCCTGTATTAGGTAAAATATATATTTGCCACTAATGAGCACTGACATAATTGAGATATCATGGGCAGACTTATCTGTTCAGCAAAAATAAATATATTATGATTGAAAAGTGTTTGAATCATAAGAGTCTCTTGAGTAAGTATGGCACTAACTATAGGGCAGCCCAAAAGCATAGGAAATTACCTAATTGAAATATGGGAAAGGAGAAAAGGCAGAAAAGAGGCAAGTGGATTGAGTCCATTGTAAGAAATGGTGAGATCAATGGCGATGTGTGATGAGGGCATGGAATAGACAGTTTGAAGGAATAGTCATCTGCAGTTGGATGATTGAACAAGAGATAAAGGAGGAAATGATCTTAAAGAAAATTCTTTCCTTAATCTGGAGTGTGGTTAGGATGATAAAACCCCTTGGAATGAAACTAAGACCCAGAAGAAAGCTGTAGTTCCATGGCAAGTTTTTCTTTTATTCTAGAACTTATATATGGTTTCAGAGAATCTGGAGAATCGGAAATTATATGTGAGCATTTTCTTTAAAATCACACACAAAAGATTTTTCTACTTCCAAACAGATTAAAACTTCATTTTTAATTTTGGTTCTTGGTCTTACCTCATCCTAATTTGCATATAGAAACTCACCAGGCTATATAATATGTTTAAGAAAATCTCATAATCTGGACTGTAATGTATAAATGAAAGAAGGCCAAATGATCAAGAAAATGCCAGCTACTGAGTAATGATAATATTAATGAAAATACAAATAGCTCCTGACTGAAGATCCATTAGGAGACAAAGAACAACTCATTTACTTAAAGCTAAGGGATTCCTACATTTAGATGAGATGGATTCTCCAATAATAGGCTAGAATACAGACTTTGATATTTGTTGACCCAAACAGGATCTTAACTCCTTTGGGTCCAGCATCTTCAAAGGTCAGCTCTGATTCACACACAGCCAAGGGTTACACTGCTGCCAGAAGCCTGCTAAAAAGAGGCCTGATTAAAGTAAATTGAATATTAACATTTATGGCATCTTCAGAACTTTACTGGTAGCTGTGGTTCTTCATAACTTTGGTCTTCTAGATTTTCCAGTTAAGAGGACAATCAGATTAGGCTTTTAGGGCTACTCTCTGCAGGACAGTTCCTTTTAGAGAGACCTAATAGTCATTATAAACTTTCTAAGCATGAATAAGGTACCTCAAACCAGAAGTTAAAGAGACTCTGTACTTAGGATTCATACTCACATGGTTGCTTCATGTAAATTGGACATGGAGAGGGCTGGTTGTTTTACTTCCTTCTTTTCATCAGGTGGTAGGGCCCTAACAGGCTCAGTTTCATTAGAATAGGTGAGGTGGTCACTGACAGGAAGGCAAGATGCTGGATCTGGTAAAGAATGTTGTTGGCTTCCCTGTGGACAATCTTCATCAGAGTCTTCTTCTTCCTGCTTGTCATAGGCAAAGTTAAATGTAAGAAAGTCACAAAATGCTGCCTCTTGAGAATGCAAAAATGGGAAGGGGAACCACAAATAGACACCATGAAAACTCATAGGTGACCCATGTGCTGAGAACTGGAATTGGAAGCAAACAAGAACTTTCTCATTTGCATTAAAAAACCTGGAAAAGTTAATGAGCAAAAAGGCATGTATGCTAAGCCAAAACACCAAGTTCATTTGTATTTGCTTGGCCAGAGAAGGCACAGATAGGATGTGACCCAGTCTGGACTGTACTGCCAAATAGTTCCTCCCTTTTACCTATACCTGGGCTCCAGCTTCACACCAGTGAGAGGAGTTAGGATGAGATGGTCTACAGACACCTTGCCATTCAGAAATACTCCAAGTCAGGGCCCAGTGTGGGTCAGATACAAAGGACACTTAAAAAATTGATGAATTCAAAGAAGAGCCCTTTGAAGACCAAAGTAAAGTGGGTTTCCTCCTTAACATATTCTGATAACTATCACAACCAAATGATTTTCTTGTAGAGAAATCTGAAAATTCCACTTTAAGTTATGTTTCCTTGATGGGAAAACTTTAAAGACTATAAATTATTATTCTCTTATTTTCTTTGTAAATGTACTCAAGTATACTAAAATTTATATTTGTAAACACTTAATCTTTTTTTATATTGACATCTTGACCAAGTGGCTATTTGGATATTAATGAAGTAGGATTTGTGGTGCTTTTCTAGTTTTGTATTCCCATATATCATTCTTTATTAAACCTAGTTAACTCAATTGTCAGTACTCCTATTTTCTATTAAAATAAATATACTCAGATAGTGTAGTCAAATTGTACAATAACAAATGTTGCACTGTATGAAGGAATATACTGTCAATTTTCTTATTAAAGGAGAAAAATTAACCAATACATGCAAAATAGAGAGGCTCTGGTTTGTCTAGCTGTATTATAAATAAGATTATGCCAAACTGAAATTTATCATTTTTTTCTCTTCATCCAAGGTAATGAAAGCAGACATTAGAACTGGATTCAAATATATAAGTGTTATATATTTCTGCTGCATAATAACTAATTATTAGTCATAATATTGAGTCTAGAGAAGATGACATTCCTGCTTTTTTGAAGTAACAGCAATGGTGTCGGTGGTGTATATGGTCAAGAGGACTGCTTCACAATTCTAATAGTACTAGCTATGACAGTGCCAACTAAACATCAATACAGAGCACCAGTACAAGTTTTCAGTTAATATAGTTATCCTGACTTACAATTGTTGGAATAAGGGAAGGCGTTGACAAGATTTGCTTGATAATTCTGTATCGGTCATAAAGAGGCTTTATGAGGTTCTTGTCTTGCTTAGTTACCTGAAAAACAAAATTATTTTTCCTTTTTCATACAAGATTAAAAACATGTCAATTTTCTTGACCAAAAATAAAAGTCTCGAAGCCTCAAAGAAAGATTTTATTTCTGAAATACAATACTAATTAGAAAAGGGGAAGTTATAAGATACTGTATGTAGTAAGAGGTCAATTTTTTCTAAGAATGGTCTCTTAAAGAATAGGTCTAAGTCTAGAAAGTTGGTTTTTAAAAGCTTTCTGAAAGTGTCTGCAAAGCATAAATAGTATGAAACTTCTTTAAGGAAGTATGAAACTTCTTAATCACTTTTTTAAAGAATAAATAAGACTTTGATTTTTTTTCTTCTGAAATATCTATTTAATCTGGACTTTAATGATTATATTCACAAACATGAACTGTATGAAGGTCTTCATCATGATTATATACTAGCTTACTGGTTAGCTCTGATACTAAACTAAGTTATTTTGAACAAAACAATTTACTTCCTTGAACCCTCAGTTTCCTACCTACACAACAAAGAGGTTACAGTTACAAAGTCTCTTCTAGACCAGTCTGAAAATAGTGAAGTATTCTCAATTGATTATCCAAAGTTACTTTCAACTAAGAAATTCCATAGCCTCTTGGTATTCTAATGGATTCTTGTACCCATCTACATCTGACTCATCCCTAGGCACTACTGTCCACAAGTCACATTGTATATAAAATTTTAAATAGGTATCAATTTTTTTCTGTCTACTTCACTCCTTTATTTGCCTTGATTTTTCTCCTTTGTATCCTCATTTACTTACTACATGTCCACTATTCACAGCCTCCTTTTCATTCTATGCCATTGGTTTGCACCAGCAGGTAGTGAAAAGGGAGTGATAGAAATAGCTCAAAGTATAATCATTCAGATATCTTTTTATCAAAGTACACACGACAGACTGCCAAACAGCAGTCTTGTAGAGCTTTGAAAGAGAAAATTGAGGGAAAAGAAAATGGCTTAACCATGAGTTAAGCTTCCCAGTTAGAATACTGTCTGCCCATTCCAATTACAAACCAGTGTAGCCCATATTAATCTCCTTTTCTTTGAACTTCTCTATCTTAACTGTTTCCTTAACTGTTTTGTGTTTCAGTCTTATCTCCCCAAATCAAAGTTTCCGGAGGGCCTAGATCACATCACATAATTCTTTTAAGTTCTCTCGGTACCTGAAACAACCCAGCCTCTACTACCATACTGTCAACACAAGTTTATATACAAAAAGAAATCTAATTTTAGAGTCCTTTTTCATATATATTTCACAAGCTATAACCTAAGTTCTTGCATTTTTCTTTATTTTTCAGTAGAGAGAAAGATCACCTCCCTGTATAAGCCTCTTAAGCATGGGTTAAATAACTCCTAAAGGCTTTAGTTTTCTAGCCCAGTCCCTCCATAAACATTTTCTTAGTGATAACACACCTTTCTATGAAAAAAAGAAAGTCTACCAAACTGCACTCCATGGTATTTTAAGAGGTGACAGAAGGAGGAAAAAAAATCTCCATCTTTAAGTTCAAAAAATATTGAAATAATGCTTTTTGCTATCTCATTTGGGATTTTATATATATTCTATAGAAAACACTTAAGAAAATTATGTATCTATTATTGGCTTTTCTTTTGAAATTTGATTTTTGTGATTTTATATTACCCATTCTAGAAAAGCTAAAATTGATCCTAAATGCAATAAGAGTCACCAAAAAGTTAGAATGATAAATGCCATTTGAAAAAAAATTAAAGATTAAAACTAGGGTAACACATACAATGTATGTACTCACCTTTTACTCTAATAACTCCATAAGTTTACTTTTAGGATCATTACTGAAACAATCCCCAAAGAGAAACATGAGGGTTCAGTAACCAGCTCAGATGTGTTTCTTAGACAAAGAGAAATCTTGGCAGGACTTGATTCATAAAGCTAAAGAGTAAATTTTCTATCATTCACTGTTCAGAGAGGAGAATGTCAGTTTTCCTTCTGACTTTTAAGAGAAAGCTCCTTTATGAGGATTATTAGGAATTATTTTGTTTATAAATTCCTGTGGTTTTCTGAAAAAGAATACCTGGCATCAGTTCCATGGGAAGGAAGGAAAATAAGTACACTAGTAAATGTACTAGAATTATAGCAGATTTGTTTCCAACTTTCTGACCAGGACCCAGCAAGAAATATCTGGGCTAACCATTAAATAGTGTTTCCCTTTAGGAAAACCATCTCAATTTTAGGCTACTCTACCAGTCTTTGATGACTGAATTATCTACTGCAATAGGGGGCTAGGAGCTTTTGTAAGGCAAAGTTGTTGAGCTATCAACAAATTAGATCATATTAAGTTTATACAAGTTCTTTCTTCAGTCTCCTCTTAGTTTTAACCCTTCTACTATAAAAATGTAGGAGGTAAGTATAATTATCCTTTGTGGTTTATCTGCTTATACTTACCTTGAAAATAGCACATCCATTTGTACTCTGGATAGCTCTATTTGGCCGTTTTAGATTACTCAACATGGTTTCCTCCATTCACATAACAAAAATTAAAAGGTAGATACATCTTACATACTATAGGGAGCCAGCAATGTATAGAATTAGGAAGGAAGTAGAATTATTCATTTCTGGTGCACTACAATGCCCTGTGTGCAAAAGTGAAATTAAAAAAAAAAATCCATAGCTAAAAAAGGAAGGAAATTACCCATTAGCTGATATCTGAATCAAGAAGGCAATACTGTAGGAATTATCAGCATCAGCAGGGGCTCTGACTCTAGTCATATAAAATAATACAAAAAAATTGAGAAGAATAATAAAAGTGTTTCCAGAAAAGAAATCATTCTTCACTTTAAAATTTTTAATATTTAATGTAATTTTAGCAATAAGGCAAGGAAGGATCCCAGATGAAAGTCATCTGGCATTTTGAGTTTGAAGAAATGGAACCTAATGAGATGACGTGAAATGTTGCTGAGTTTATTGAGGAAACAGAAATAAGAATCGCTGCTTTGGAAATATATAATATTGCCTTAGAGACATGCTTGTAGCCTCTGGACTCACCCTGAGGACTCATCTTACAGCTGACTAGCCACAACATGGTATACTGTGTCTTGCTCTCTCAGGAATAATACTGAGTATGTAAGTTTACATAGTTAACTTTAGATTCTCTAGCTAGAGGCCTCAAACTTTCACTTACTATAGGGCTACCATGTTTATTTGAAGGGGCTTCTAACATATATATTTGTTTAGAGTAATAGAAATAACTGCCATTTATATAAGGATAACTCTTGAAGCACTCAGAGATTTTTGTTTAATCTTCAGAATTCATTTGCATGTATGTGCCTATTTGACTTAGATGCCTCAGAAGGATGAACTACCATCTCATTTTGCTTAGTACTGAGACATTTCCCAGGATGGTTGGTTACTCTATTCTTGAATGATCTTAAATTTAATGTATCCTAAACAGAACCCTTGTAAGTTTTCATCCCCAATCAGAAATCTGTTCCTTAGATTTCTTTTTTATACCTTTATTTTAATTTATTTATTTTCATGTGTCGCTGAGGATTGAACCCAGGATCTCACATGTGGGAAGCACTCCACTGACTCCAGCCCTGTTCCTTAGTTTTCTCATGCCAGTAAATGGACTCATCACCATTCAGGATCCCTCCTTTCTTCCTCTTTCTCTTATCCAATGCTTTAGCAAGTTCTTTTTGTTTCCAACCAAAATATACTTTGATTATGTTCACTTCTCTCCATCTCCAGTGCCACTACGCTAATGAAGCCACTAATTCCATTTTCCCATTTTCACTTTTCCCCTATGATTCAGCCAGCAATCAGAAAGATCTCTTAAATATGATTCATCTCACATCACTTTTCTGCTTATGATCATTTGGTAACTTAATTCTTTTCAAAGCCTAAAAGATTCTGTTTGATGGATTCCCATCTACCTTTCTGATCTCATCTCATGCCTCTCATCTCACTCCATCCTGTGTTCTAGCCCTCAGACCTGTGAATTCCAAGAACACAAGAAGCTCTTCCTTCCTTTAAGAACTTTATACTTCCAATTTTTTCAAGAATCTTCTTCATCCCCTCTTGGCCTAAACTTGTCATGTTCTTAGCCTTCCTAATCACCCTAGCAAAAGAAGAAACCATACCCATTATTTTCTATCATTTCACTTGTTTAATTTCATGCACAGTACTTACCAAACTCCTTATTGATTTTGTTCATATCTTGTATACCATTCTAAGAACTTGAGCTCCAAGAGGGCAGCAAACCCCACCATGACTTCTTTTATTTTTTATACCTAGCATCTTTTTGCAAATGAATGATTGTCTACCAGTCACAAGGCATTTCTTTTATTGTCACAATAATTATATCAGTGTTATCTGTATTTTGCCTATGAGGAAGTTAAATCTCAGAATTAGTTCACTTGCTAAGTAAACATGATTATCAAGTGGTTAGTTAAGCACTAAAACCTAGTCTAAGTATTCTATACCAACCCAACACTACCTCACTGCCCTAATTGAGTAGAATTTAGAATTAGGATTTGGGTATTGACAAAAATGCTGTTGTAAATGTGGTCAAGGTAATACAGGAGAGACCCCTAGAAAACCATAGATGTGTCTGGGTGTGTGTGTTTGTATACACAGACATTATCCATAGATATTATTACAAAAGTCTGGCATCTTTGGTGGGAGATGGAATAGGTTGGCTACACAAATGAAAAACTATTCACTACTCACAACATATCTTTAGACTTAAAACAACAACAGTGTATTTCATGAAGATGGAAGTGACCACAGCTCAATTTCTACTTGTAGATCACAAAGTTCCAATGTAAAGGACTAACCTAGGGGCTAACTGTAAGCCTTCTGGGATTTGATATATGTTACCACCTTATTAAGACCAGATTAAGTACAATACAATAGAGAAAAGCATCATTCTCCTCAAGAAGACTTCATACTGAAGATAAATGTGCTAGTTTGTTCCTGTCCATTTGTCTGTTTATTCAACAAACATGTATTTGATACCTACTATGTACAGACACTAAGGGATCATGAAGAATGCAAGAAGTTTAAAGTGTAGGGATAGCAGAAGACATGAAGCTATGACAGGATAGCTTCAACTCTTAATCAGGAGAAAACCGCAACTATGCCAGTCTTAGAGTTGATACAAAAGAACCACAGGAAAGCTTCCCTGTCACAACTGAAATGGAAGCAATGATAAGTAGGATGATGGGGGATTAACCAGGTAAATGCTGATCATTTTCTTCTTTGTTAATTACAATAAGACTTTTCTTTAAGCTCCAGTATCATATAGCCTAATGTCTAGTGGTAACTCCATCCAGTTGTCTGAGATTTCAAAACTAATTTGTCTAAAGAATTCGACTAAAGATTTCAGATAAAATTAGACCAATTTTATCTGAAGTCTTTAGTTCTAACTTAACACTTCCAAAGAAACCCTATCTCTCTGTCCTTATTACATAAAATACCAAAACACTTTCATTGCTATTTATGCCTCATCCCTGCTTTATTATATTTTAACATGTGGGGAAGGGACTATAACTGGATCTCTGTCCTTTCAGACAATATACTAATTCCCCAGTCTTGAGTTCATTTGCCAATTTGTAAGGGAAGGAAATTAGTTGAGAAAGGGATGATATATCCTATGTCTTTGCCAATTTCTATCCTCCATACAAAACTATAACCTCACAAACAGCAGTACATCCTTCAATCATTGGGCAATGCCCAGAGGTCACAGCCAGTAACCCACCAGAAATCATCTGACTGAAAGTTTGGAGCCAGTCTCCTAAAGATGTCTATGGTGGCAAAGTGCTCTGATAAATTGGTAAACAGGATGATCTTACTGGCACTATGTGGAATGTTGGGGCCCCATGATGATATGGTCAGGTACCTTAAAATCCTCCTGCAGAGGAAGGTGCTCTCTCTTCTCCTTCAGGCATGTCAACACAGCATCTAAAGTTTCCTCTCCAGAGGAGCTTGGCTCAGGGCCTGCAGCTTCTGGCTTCCCATTTTCTCTGGGGACCGTGGGTTGCTCACAGGACAGATTTCTAGGTGGGCCTTTGGGAGCACTCCTCTGTTCTTCAGACAGCTTCAGCTTTAATTCTAAGAGAAAGGTCATGAGTTACCATGAGGAAGAGGACTCACTATCCCTAATCAGAATGTAGAACCCTTCAGGAATTCCCTCGCTGGATGCCATATTGGTAGAAATGAAAAATGCTAATAATAGCTTTCTATGTGGCAAGGGCAGCCCTAATAACCATGATTAATTTCACAAGCACCCAAACAAGTGTAAAAACAGTGAGCCCCAACAGCTGGGTCCTCATGAAGCAGAGGATAATATGTAGTAGTAACTCTGGTGTAGACTTCAGCAGAATTCTGGAGGAAGATCATTAGTACCTGACCCCAGAGTTCCCACCTGTTACCTACTTATAGCACCTGAATTCTATACCCAAAGATTTGCTGATGTAAATTTTGAAAGTCGTATGTTCATCAGGGTAGCTTCTGTGGAAATACTAGTTCGTCTAGAGGGCATTACATATGTAGATACCCAAGGAAATGCAGGCAAGTATAGGAAAGGGGAAATGGGAATGCCAGTCCCAGATTGACGTATTTTACAAACTTGTCGAAGTCCAGGTTTCAAAATCCAGGAACCACTGTTATTGCAATGTGGCTTTTTATAAACTTATATAATTAAAAATTAAAAAGCCACCAGGGACTTATTAGGGAATTGCATTTCAGAATATGTTAGGGGACTGGTGGTTTTAATGAGACTATTTATATTGATTTCTCAATTACATAGCTCATTTTCTTTGATGTTTATTTTTTGGAATGTGTGTATTGTTAGTGAATAAAATTTTAGTGATACTAGTTTTGTGTTTAAAAACTGCACATCTTCTAAATATGCTACATCATTATAGTTTAATACCAATGAATTCCCTTCTACTTCTTAATCACTATCCTTCCAGAAATTTGGAAACACTCCCATGTCTAAGAAATGAAATTGGGATGTGGAGGTAAGAAGAAAAATTTATTGGTAAATAACGATAGTCCTGTTTCAATGTATTTTAGAGCTAATTAATACACCATCATCTCCAGAGAGGGATAAAGAAAGACAAGCACTGAACTAGGACACAGGAGAACCAAGTCTTAGCTCTGGTTTACCATCTCCAAGCTGTGTGACCTTTATGGGCATAAACATGCTCATCTATGCAACTGGGCATATAGAATAAATTCTCATTATTATGTATTAGATGTTGTTTCTATCATCTAAGAATCCAATAACCAGGGAGGTTATAGCTTCACAGGTTGAAATGTTCCTAGCATTAAACTGAATCATTCCACTAGGAGGCTGGAGGTCCCCAGTCTCTGTAAGGAGGTTTACCAAGTAGGGCTGAACAGCAAAGGAGATTGAGGACTCTTTATTTCAAATAGGGCCTCCTATCTAAGTGGTAAACTAAGTTCAAGAAGGCACAGGTGGAAATGAATCAAAAATATCCTGCAGCACTTTATACTATTTTATCTGCTTCTGAGAAAAGAGACCTTTGGATGGCATTTACCTTTGAGCTGTTTACGACCTTTAGCCAAATCATTCATCCATTTCAGGACTTCAGGATTAGAAGTCTTGTCTCCATGTGAAGGCTACCGAAGGAGAGAAAAGGGAAGGTGGAAGGGAATTAAGAAGGGAGGGAGGGAGAGAGAAAAGCAAAAAAAAATTTTAGACAGCTGAGCTACATGAAGATAGTTCAAGAACATAAAAACCTGGGAGAGACATCCAGGCATGAAAACTCCAGCTGATGGAGGTGCTTCTGGAAAACGGCACATGTTCTCGACCTCTTCCATTCACTCACCCTTGACATGGGCACATTTCTAAACATGCCTGGCCACCCAGCATTTTCATAGTTCTAACCATGTCATTGCCCCGCTTCTTTCTAACCCACATATCACCTGTGAGGCCTCCTGTACCACATACAATGTTGCCTGGCCATTCTCTGTATCAGTGCAGATGATAATATAGATCATTTCTTATTATCTTGCCTATGGCTCACATACATGGCTTGTGACCATAACCCGATGGAAGATACAAACTGGGAGTTTGGCTCTTATCTGCCATATCCTCCGAGCTGAAGAAAGAAGATCCCAGGGTCTAAAACTTGACAATAGTCAGGAGAAGTCTGACTGTCAGGGAGGGTAGCCATATTTCTAACCTTAATATCCTAATGAGGCTAACATTAACATGAAACTTAATCATATATATGTGACCTTGGGCAAATTATTTAGCTTCTCTGTTCTTCATGGCCTCATGTATTAAATAAGAATTATAACAGTGTCTCCCTTGTAGGGTTGATGCAAGGAGTTAATATTGATAAAGCACAGAAAACAATTCCAGATGCACGCCAAACACTATAGAGTTAGCTGCAATTACTGGTTTTATTTTCAGTAGCAGCAGTGATAGTAGTAGTATTTCCACTAAACCTTCAAAGGAATACTGAATGTTTTCACTGGCAAATACACATGGAGGGGTATGTAGGTTCTACAAGTAGCCAATCACACCTTAGATGTGGTATTAAGAACATTTTAAAAGGAATAATCTCTTGTCAATACAAATCACTTACTTGACTTCTGGATTCCTTCTCAGAACACAAAAGTGGACTTTCTACAGAAAACAAAGTAGGAATGACAAGTAGCCAAACATACCCTCTACCCCCACAGATCAGTAAGGAGCATTCTTAAATAATCCAAGGCCTCCACAATTACTTAGTTGTGGGCTTGGGCAGATCAAATGGATACTAAGGATATATAAAGAACTATATAATAAAAAAAGGATGATCATAAACATTATTGTGTGAAATGTGTGTATTGTTAGTGAATAAATTTAGGAGCTGTCATGTTTCTTTAATGATCCCCCAAATCCAGGTGTAAGAAGATAGAGAACACATTTCTTTTAAGTTCAAAGGACAAAACAGTAATTTTTGACAAGATCAAATATACATGGGACATTTGTTCACATTTTAAAATCAAGATGGAAAGAAAAGGAAAGAAGTTGATGAAGGATGATTCTTTCCTAAGGGAGCTTGAATGGAAGACTGATTTCCATAAAGGGGCCCTAAATTTAGGATCATGGACAGTGCCACATGGGTCACTAATCTGTCCCCCAAACCAGCTTAATGTAATCCTACCTAGGGTCTACAGAATGATGTTCTGTACTAGTTCCCTGGCATACAGTCTAGCATTTGGCTTTGGGTAGCAGTCTGGTTATACAGACAGTCAATGTTTTAAAGCATTTGGTTTCTCAGAATCTTCAGAGATTCCTCCATTTCAGTCTAAGAACTATCTTGTTGAACAGTGCTTAACTGGATCTGCTCCATACTGTTAATTCCATCTTTTGAAATACAGTAAAAACAAAAACAAATATCCTAAGCCATTGACCAACAACAAAATGAGCTTTTACTACTGCACATCAGACTTAAGAGAAATTTAAGGCTCAATTTTCCAGCAAAGTAATTTAAAGCCTGAAATCAGTTCAGAAATGAATTTCTTATTCCTTTGCCCTTTGGGGAACTTTTAAAAGATGTTAAATTAAGCTCACATGGATGGCAGCACTCATGTGACATAAAAGTTTTCATATACTAGTGTGGATCTTTAATCCTTCTAACTTTATAACTGAAATAATCTGACTTAATAGACACTAACAATCATAAACTGGAATTTACAGAGATTTGGCTTTGTTCAATACAATTAAAATGGGATGGACACCCAGACCACATTACTGGGGATATCATTGGAGAAGTTTTGTGGTCTGCCAAAGATGGTTCATAAACCATCTTTGGGATTTATGGATTGGTAATTAAAAGACCTGTGATATTTTCTTGACTATATCAATTCTTTGCTGTATGATTATTGGAAATTCACCTCCCGGGTCTCAATTTCTTCAATCATCTGATAAGAAAATTGATGAGCTGATCCTTCCAGTTCTAACATTTTCTGTTTCCACTGAAAGCACACATCTGGTGGCAGTAGCCTTTTCTAAACCCATGAGCCTGTTTATCAAATGCAAAGTCAAGTTGTAGAAAATAAGTACAGTTTTGAATAGAAATATGAAATGGTTACATTCAATAGAGATGGAAAAACGTATGTTATACCCAGACATCAGAGTAGCACAGAAGCCCAGCAAGAGCTTGGATTCAAAAATTAACAGTGGGTGCTATTAATTCCATAGTCAGAATGCCAGGAAGGGAAGTCTTATACACAGCAACCAATTAAATCCTACTGACATATCAAACCTCTAACCATAGCCTGGCATCCTGACAGAAAGGGCAAGGGGAAGCCCTATTTCCTAGAACATCCAAGGATCTAATTACATCAAAGAGTTATAGACAGTAAAGAATGATGACCTTGAACCTCTTCTTCCTCCTCCTGCTTCTGCATCCATCCTTGCGCATAAGTACTTAGGTGTGTCTATCCTCTTTAAACTTTCTCTAAACAAAAGCAGGAGATGCTTAGAGAATTTCTGTTCCAAAATAGGCAACTTGTGGATGATTGCTATAGTCAAGGGAAATAATTCAGGATCTGTGGCTGCAGGTAGAAAAATCCAGGGAAGATTTAATGTGTACAATTTCCCTTCATTTTCTGACAAGGCACAGACTGCTCAAACTGATTAAATAGTTAACAAAATCTAGAACCACTCCCTTTATGAAAATACTACAATAAACATTATACATGTGTTCACTCATTTTAATACCCTTAAACTTAAGTTACAATTGATAACTCAACTTTATAGATGGACAAACTGAGACTCAAGTGTGAAGTAACAAGTCCAAAGTTGCAAATTTCTTAAGTGTCTGGCTGGATTCAAATCCAGAAGAGTCAACAGGCCCTAGGAATGGACCCCCTAGTTGTTACTCTACAGAGTCCGATGTGAGGAAATCAAAGATCCAATAACACTCCAGCAGCAAACAGGTGAAATCAGCTTCTCTTGGGATATCTGGACCTTTCAATATATGGATACTTGAGGGGTCGTGGATGTAACTCAGTGAAAGAACACTTGCCTAGCATGTTGAAGACCCTGGGTTTATACATCAGACCCACAAAAAAACAAAAACAGAAACCCTGAAAAAGTAAAATATGGACACTTGAGAATTTTACTTCTACTCCTAAATTACAAAGCCCACTCGTCTTTAATTCACTACTCCAAGCCTCAGCTGATAGAACACAAATACTTTAGGCGATTTATAAATCTTCACTGGGCCTCAATTTCCCTATCTTTGGGGGGGGGGGGAAAGGCTTAGCGTTCCCTCCTGCTCCATTAAAAAAATATAGCAAGTAGCTGTGACTGCCTGACTTTGGAGGAGAGAAGGATCTGCCACAAAGTGACTGAGGTTGTCTTGAAAGCCAGTTTTTTTTTTTTCTAATTTTTTAATTTTGCGAAACTAAAAATCACTCCTTAAAACCTCTCTTTTAGTGAATTTGAGGCCACACAGGACAAGTTGAACAAAAGAGTGGAATCTTACCTATTCTCAGCTCCCTCCCCAGAACTTATACTCACAGTTCCACATGCCTCTGTACCAAGTGCTTAGTGAGCTTTAAATATTTCAAGATGTATGAGAAATTTATTTTAATAACAAGCTATTCTGGGCCTTCTTCCAAAGACCCAATATCTTTATGCAATTCTGCATGAATACGATTTTTCTCTATGTCATAGTCACTATGAGAGAAAACAAAAGCAGCATTGGCCATCAAGATGCTTACTTATGGCTCTTGTTGTTTCTTATTGAGAAGAGACAAGACTTGTTTTTATAGCACTATACTACCAGCATGAAGACTGGTGTCTGATTGGAAATGATGGTTCAAGTTTGTTCTTATGAGGGGCCTGAAAAGATCTCACGTGAGAAGTCTCCACTCGACAACCAGGAAATACTAAAATCATCTCCCTCTCATTGTGCTGCACCCTTAGAGAGTCTGCCCTTCAAGTACATAATAGGTTCTTATCACAATGCAAATAGAAAAAGGTTAAAGAAAAAAAAAAAGACTATACTTCAAAAGTTTTCCAAATTTTGGTCCTAGATAATCTAGTGATAGTAAGATTCCTTAGGGGAAAAAAAAGAATAGCAGGAGAGAGGGGGATGAATACTAAGTTCAGAAATGAGAGTTAAAATCCATCACTGGGAAGTATCTTAGAGGAGATAACTGGCAGCATATGAGAACAAGACAAGAGTCAAGATGGGAACTCATCAACAAGACCTAGATTGACCAGTGGGAACAGAACTGTCCCCTGACAAAGAGGGGTACCCAAATAGGAAGGACAGAGACTCAGGAAGGTCCACACATCTCAGCCTAACACGATCTGTTCTCATATTAAATCCTAAGGTGCTTACCCGGTATTTCTTTTCTTGTTCAAATTTCTCTTCAAATTTCCGAATTTTCCGCTTGAGGCTCTGGATGTGCTTGGTGAGCTGGGTAATGGTCTGTGGCTCCTTGCCATCACCACAGCTACACCGAGAAGAACTTCGGGGCCTACCATGATTAGAAGGAGGGAAAGAGCATGAGAAACAATGGTACCCCAGTAAACACTGCTGCTTGTTCTACAAACCAACATTATCAGAGAAGGCTAGAGTGCAGTTCATAATTTGATGAGTCAACCATCTGCTCATTAATAGCCCTGATAACAGAACTGCATTATGAGCAGATGTCCTCAGGGTCTTTAGTAGACAAAATGTCAGAATATAAGTCCAGGAAACATGTTTCTTAAAATTGATAGAGGCCAATTTAAAGCTCAGAAGAGACACCCATATTGAGGTGTTATCTTCAATAGGTTACATTAGCCACTCTTATCAACAATTTCAAAAGAAGATTTATATTAGTGTTTAACTTTGTTGACATAAAAAAACAAATATTTTCAAATATGATGAAAAAAATGGGCCTCCTCCCCAGAAAATGTGTACACCGTCACATGACACATATTTTACATGCTACAGTAATAATCACTAACTCCCTCAAATTCAAGTAGATAGTCAATACAATTAAAATGGGACAGACACCCGGACCACATTACTGGGGATATCATTGGAGAAGTTTTGTGGTCTGCCAAAGATGGTTCATAAACCAGTTTATGAACCCAGTTTAGATCAATTAAAGAATGAGTTATGGGGAAAAAATTTAGGATTTCCTGGGCATATTTTCAGCCAAGGGATTCTCAGTTTTAGTTATACACCAAAAGGATTTATGAAACCCCCAAATAAATAACATATATTATTCTTTTATCTTATTCCAATGCCAAATATAAAAGTCCAAATGGAGTGGATTGAGGGAAATATATCTATTTAGATATCTACATCTAATTTTGGGGAACACCAATTATAAGTTACCACTTTTCTAGAGTCTAAGAAATTGAGGTGGCAAATTATCTAATGTTTCTATAATCCATCCATTTACACTACTGTTTGACAAGGAAAAATAGATTGCACTAATTGAGAATGATATTCCTGATACTAGAACATTCATAGGATTAGGATTCTGGTAATTTCACCAAAATCTTTTAAAACCTGCATGCTCCTGATTAGCTCGTCTCTCAAAACCATTTCCTCCTTAGGGATTAAGTCCTGAAACAGGATTCCCAACTAGAAAGTACACCAATTTTAGCTTTATCATTCAGATCTCACAGTTGCATTTTGTCAGGTTGTTTGCACTATTCCAGAGGCACAATAGTTCATTTGTAAATGTGGTATTTGAAAAACTGTATGAAATGAAGACTATTATAAAACAAGGTTTTCTTACATCATGAACTGCTGAGTGCTGGGTGGAGAAGGGGCTGACTCGGGGTCTAAATTGAATCTCTGGCTTTGGCTAAAGATGGAGCATCGTGGCGACAGCAGTGGGTTGTCACCATCAGTGATGTGATAAAGCAGCCTGCTGGTCCCAACAGACTGGAGGTCTTCTGGTGTGCTGTCAGCTTCATTCTGCCCATCTTTGTGGACTGGCATGGGGTCTGGGGAAACAAGATAATTGATCAACACTTAGAAGTGACAGAGGGCTTGAAACTGTCATGTTCCTAAATAAAGATCATAAACATTCATTATAATGGCTTGCCTCTTTGTCATTTCTTCCTTCTGGGTATATGAAAAGCTTTCAAAATACTGTCATGTTTTTTTTTTTTTTTTTCCCCTCACAGAACACAGGGAGAAAATATGACAAAGCCGCCAACAACAATAAAAAAGGAAACATTATTTCAATATGAGTTATTCAGTCAGCATAACCCAAAACTACAAAAAAATATTTTTATTTCATAGTATTTGCATATGTTGGAGGATACATGACAAAGTATGAGGGTGAATAAAAAGAGAATGAAATTGAACTGTAGCAAAAGATTATAGATTATGAAGAATAAAAGGGATAATAAAATTGCCAGGAAAGAAAGTAGGAAGGAAGAAAACAAAAAAAGGAAGAGAGGGAATGGGAGTCCCCAAAGTGAAAATTATCCAACAGTCCTCAAAAATTATGGAGATCTTTGCTCATCAACATGGAATAATGTTCAGAATATGCTAAATGGAAACCACGGGTGTCACAACTAAGCAGTAATGGTTTCATTTCACATATATGTGTACAAATAAATGTATCAAAAGATCAAAGTAGTTATGAAGTAACTGCAAAACATGGTAAGATTGGGAATGATTCTGTTTCCTTCCTTGAAATCATATGTAACATTTTATTTCAGACAAAATAAAATGGAAACAAGTCCTCCAAAAAAAAGTCCTCTCCCCAGCTAGCCAACCCTGTGCCTGAATTCTTGCAATGGCCATTCTTTTAAGTTAGCCCATTAGCCCCCCACCTCAGGAGTTTGAAGGTGAGTACAGTACAAGCACCTCAGTCTTGAAGGTGAGTACACCTGTGCTATGGAGGGTAGGAAGTGAGATGTGTCAATGAAGGATCCTCAGGACCTGGATAAAAGACTCTTCACCTAGGGCTCTGGAGGCAGCCCAAATGAACTTCTTGATTTTCCCTAGCAGACAAGTCAGGACAACTCAAGTTTTTTTGTAATGCCTACTTCTGTAAAGAAAGTGGAAAACGGATTTTCTGAGTGAATAAGCAGAATCAGAAAATACTGACAATTCACTTTTCCAAAACAAACATTTATCACAATTTGTTACCGGATGAATCTTAATCAGATTTAGAATGAATCCTTATTCTCTAGAGCTTGAAATGCAATTTGCTTTGTGTAACATCAAAGGTCTGATTAGTCCTGATGTGTTTTCGGTTGGCTTCCCTTCTGGTGGGTTGTACACTGGAAGGGTAGACAATACTTCCCATTGTACCTCTGAAGTTTGCTGACAGCACTTTTGTCAGAAGCTGAGGATAGTGAAGGCAGAGTGGACCCAGGTGATAAAACAGCAGTGCCTGCACTGAGACTGGGCAGGAGCCATGATGAATAATAGGAACAAGACCTACTATCCAATAAGTCTTGGCACATACAGTACAGTCACCTTCAGAATCCTCCAGAAGATCCTACCAAATCCTTCCCTTAAACCATCAGGCTCTAGGAAGAAATATATTTTATTCATGTTGCCTATTTCTTGGAATTATATTCTGGTAATAATGGAGAAGAAAATAATCTTTAGCAAGCACCTGGGATCAGCATGTTTTTAATTGAAATGGCATAAGTTCTGACACCTTCAACTATTCGCCTCAACTAAGGTCCTGAGGCCCAAATTAACATAGGTCTGTTGTTGTCATTTTATAATGTCCAAACGGAAGCCCTTGGGTTCCTAGCCACAAGATCATGAAGTAGAGCTGGGAAAAGAGTTCAATTTATAAAACCCACAGAGTCCTAAGATACAACTTCACAGAATCACAGATCACTTTGAATGGCTTTTTTTGAACTGTATTGCAATAGTGACGGTATACCTCCATTTAGGTGAAACCGCTTTCAATAGGCACTTACATAATTTACCAGTACTGCCTAATTAATATCCTAATCTCCCTTTCCCTTCAATTCACTACTGAAGGAAGCTGGGAGCCAGAAAGATCCCAAAAGCAACTAGTTGAAAAGACACAGAAACCCAAACTGGTAATTTGGTAAAGCTTCAGTTTTTTTTCCAAACTCACTATTTGAGTTGAGAAGGGGTTTAATTAAATCAGCTGGCATCTGTATCAGTGTGTGCATTTATGTAGACAGAACCATTGAGCTCTTTGGTTAAAAGAGGCAAATGTAAATTCAGAGCCAGCGCTGCTACCCTCCTGGGAAAACAGCACAGGCCACCACTTTCAGACCCTGTTCCTAATGGGGAGGGGTCTGGAAGATTCCCCCTAGAGTCACATTATTTTTTCTTCCAGAGGCAAGGGCAGATTTTCAGAGCCTGTGCTGTGATACATTATGGTTTAGAGGAAGGGGTCTGAAAGCCAAGCATCTGCCATGCCTGTGCTTTTATTATGGGACTCCAATCAATTTCGCAACCTCTCTCAGTTTCCTTGTTTGGCCCATCTTTCTCATAGAGCTGTGATAAGAAAAATAAGAGGAGATTTGCTGTTCAAAACTGTGTCTTTAGTAAATAAATACCTATTGTATACTTAAGATTTTTGTTAAAAGGATAGACCATGTTGAGGGGCTCTTACTCCGGTAAAATTTTCTTCTATTAAAAAAAAAGATTTGTAACAAATATATCTTTTTAGGAAGGTAAACATAAGTTAATGAAAATTTTGGGAAGAATAAAGCTTTCCTGAGAAGGAAAGTGAGGAAGCATCTCAGATGCAGCAAAGACTTAGCTGACCACTAGGTAAGAGAATGAAAATGATGATCCTTTTTGAACCCCAATCTCTTAATATGTTAAATGGGGAGAATAATAATAATGCCTGCCTCACAAAATTTAGGATGAAATGAAATAAAACTGTGTTCCTATAAAAATTTTGCCATACCATACACATCTATATGTTTACACTATTTTTATACACACATATATATAATTTATATATATGCACACAAACATACTTTTGGCTTACAGATTTTGAAATATTTCAGCTTCATACCGAGCAATGATGATCAAGAAATCATAAACTTGATGTTCTAGTCACATTTTCTCAAACTCATACACATTAAAATAATTTGCTCTTAAAACTAATAACGTGCATCCATGCATCCTTTGTATAGCATACTTGGTGGAAAAAAGTAGAATAAGGCATAGAAAAACACGATATCCATGCAAATCATCATTTTAATCATTATTATTAAAATAAGACACTTAAATATTATTTTACTGAGCCCTTATGGGGTTAATATGGGAGGTGAGAATCAGTATATCCCTCAGTATCTCATCCCTATCTCCTATTAGTTCTTATTTATAAATAACTAAGAATAATAATCTAATAATATCTAATATTTATGGAGTGACTCATGATGTCTTCACACTTGCTCTGAAAGTTTTCACATATATTTAATCTTCATAACAACCATATGAGACTAGTAGTAATGTGATTCCCACTTTAAATTCAGTAGGGAAAGTTGTCTAACTATGCTAATTCAATTCAGGGAGGGTTTGACCAGTACCTATGGTTGAAGAATCCACATCTCTACTCTGGAAGCTGAAGTGTTTCTGGCAACCCACTCACTGAGCAGTAGGGAACACGGAGAAGAGAAATAATTATCAGTATGTGAAGGCCAAGAGACCACTTCTTCTCTGGCTGCAACCCCAGGCAGAAGCAGATGCTATATTACAGCTGTTCAATGACTCAGTCAGATTTTAAAATATATCTTTTTAATGTGAGTTTTTAAAGCAATTCAAAATTGAAATAAATCTCTCTCTGAAATAGCTTGAGAGGCACTGTTGAAACTTAACTGTAATAAATCAGCTACAGTCTTGTAGATTTGTTAAGTTGCACCCTCAGATTTGCCTATTGTGGTGGGCTCATAGGTAACATTCAGCTATATCCCCAAAATGCCAAATATCAGCCTGTGTTGGTTTTAAAAGCTAAATGAGCCAAAAGCATGTCCATGATTCTAATGAGGTTTAAGCATTAGAGTTCTTACCCAACATGTCTAAGGACAGATAGAAGGGAGGATAATAGTGTCACAAACACAAAGAAAGCTGCAAAAATAAGAGACAATAAAAAACATCTGATGGATACATGATGCTTTCAGTTTTAAGTATACTGAATTTAAGGTTAAGAAGATACTAATAAGGGTTAGCTACAGGGCCAGATGACAAAGAACCTGTAGTCATCGCAGTATAGCCACCACTAGAGAAACATGAACTTGGCTGTTAGAGAGCATTGAGAGAGAAGAAGCGGGTAGGGCTGGCTGACCTAGCAGGGAGAGGCATACACTCCAAGCAGGCAGGAAAATTTGCCAACCATGAAAGTAGGGCTGGGGTTCATGACAGGGACCCTGTAGGTCCCAAAAGACAGTTTGCCATCACAGATAAAAGCATGGGTTGCAAGCTCAGAAAAATCTAGAATCAAGTCCCAGTTTGCCACCTGTGTGATCTGGGACACAATCTTTCAAATTCAGAAAGAGACAAATATTATTAAGGAAAATGGCTAATGAGCCATGTCTGATTTCTGGGAACATCATTTTCCCTCTCCATGTCACCCAAGTGAAGCCAACTACTCACATAACAATCAGGCTGCCCTGCCTAGGTAGAGGAATCTTCCTGAACTGTGGAGCTGGGGAAAGAGTAAGCATCATCTATGATAGTGCTAATCGTCCAGAAGCACCCTGTCAGAGCAGAGAGAGAGCTGGGTGTTGTGATGCTCTTCAGTTTTCAGCCTAATTGACTCCCCAGGTCTTCTAGTCAATTCCTGCACAACTGATCATCTCAGTGGTACAGTTGATAAAAATCAGTTATTAAGATGACAGAAGCCATTTTCAGAAGGGAGCTTTCATTTACAAGCAGAAATGCTTTGAAAAACACAAGGAACATTAAATACACAAAGTAGACGGGAAAACTGCTGAAGGAAATTCAATCTTCATTGTGAGCTGTACATTTTCTGGGCTTATCC